TTATTAAAGTAATAGCCACTTCAAAGAACTAAAATAAAAAAAATATTTCAAATTCTAGTCGGAGCATTATGCATATTTTTTGGTTTAAAAAGCGTTACCAACACACTAGAAATTTCTGTGTGTGCATGTAGAGTTTTACTTTACTTTCAATAATTTGTAGGTCACAACAACAATTACCTGTTGTTTTCGTGCGGAATGCAGACCGCGATCCGAAACGTCATCAACAGAACGCGTTATGCCGACCGTTACCGAGTAGACATGTGTCAATCATGAATGATTCGTTCGTTTGAGCTGGTCTGGTACACTTAAAAGTATTGATGGTTCACTCATCTGTTTTTGAATGTTCCGGTACAGCCAATCACAAACAATTGACGGCACGTTTTTAACTCGTGATTGGTGTGAATTGTGGATGAGTCAAAAACCGACCGAATCCCGAATGATCTGAATGAATTATTTCTAGTGTAGGGTATTGGAGCCCGAAATGTTCAATTTGTATGATCGATCTGAATGTACCGGTACGCGTGACAAAATGTACAAGAACGATTCGGTCACGAGAAATGAATGATTGAAACATGTCTATTACCGAGTCGTCAAACCGCTTACCGTGGTCAAGGCAAGTAACTAATGTCCTTGCTTTTAGATCGTAAGAATAGTCAGAGCTTGAGTATTGATAATTAAGAGTTGGGACCTATAAACCGCTCAGTTTTAGCACTAATATCATCTTAAATTTTACATTAAGAACAACACAGCGGAATTTATTGTATTCGTTACTTAATTTTATTACTTATATAATACTATAAGAATAAGGGAATAATTAGACGCAGAACATGGCATATTTCAAGCAACCTCACACTGAACATTCATCGCTGATTGGCTTACAGTTTATTATAATATTTTACAAAATTTTACCTTAATTCTCAACAGTTTTTGGTTTTAAATGACATACATCATGTAAGTCGCTTACAACGTTTTATACTTGACCCTAATGTGCTCGTAACTCGTCGCCGGGAACGTTTAATGCAATAAGGCGCAATGCTTATTATAATTCATAGAATACTATAATACATACATAATGGAAAGGGGAAGTGGGCGGAGCCCGTGTAGCCACTAATATGTCACTAACACGTCAATTCACACGTATAAATGTCAACACGAGATGTGTTTTGACCTTACAATCGTTTCCAAATTTCGCATGCAAATTATTTAGAAAATGCCAAATTGCACGCTATTTACAAATAAATATGTATTAAAATCCGTCTGTCAACACAGTGAATTGTGTGTTTGTTGTCAACACAGTGATTAACTGATAATACGACGTAATTGCTTGTATGTGTGCTCCCGGCGATGCCTATCCTCGTACAAAATAAGGTTGACAGCCATTCTATTGTGTATTATAGTATTCTATAGTATTATACTTAACAGTGGTAGAGCCACGCGGCAGCTTTGCTGTCGCACGTATGGGCCGGCTCAAACCGGGGTGGTACCACGACGTCACAGAATACCGGCGTGAAGTGGAAGCTCTGCTTCCGCGTTTCGTCTGGTGAGTGCAGGTGGCCGGAGGCCCAAATCCCCCCCCCCCCAACAACATGGTAGCGGAATTAAATGATAGACTACCCCAGGAGGGTACCAGCACCCCTGGAGAATCCCTCGCTGAGCATCCACGACCATGTTTCTCCACTTCTGAGCGTGGGTGCTCAGGCTGCCCCGCGTATTCTGGGGGGGGGGCAATATTCCGCTCAAGACTAAAACTGCTCGGGGCAAACGGAGCAACAAGACCAAGGCGACCCCTGCCACGCTGTCCGTGAATTTCTGCAATATCAGGGGACTTCACTCTAACCTAAACGCCGTCCACTACCATCTCGAGACGGCGAGGCCGGCTCTGCTCTTTCTGACCGAGACGCAGGTGTCCTCTCCGGCTGATGTCTCGTATCTCTCCTGCCCGGGGTACAAACTGGAACACTCCTTTGTGCCTCGGGCTGGAGTTTGCGTTTACGTCAGGGAGGACATCTGTTCTCGACGCCTCGGCAGACTTGAAGGTTCGGACCTGTCCATCCTTTGGCTACGCGTAGACAGCGACGACCATCCGCGCGTCTACGGGTGCCGAAACAGACCGACTCTTCGACCACGTCCAAATGGCTGCAGATTCGTTGCTACAGCAGATCCCCTCCGCAGAGATCGTGATCCTCGGCGACTTTAACGCCCATCACGCCGAATGGCTCGGTTCACGTTTAACCGATCATGCGGGGGAGATCTATTCATGATTTTGCCTTGGCATATGGTCTGACACAACTGGTTACTTCGCCTACGCAGATTCCAGATGTGGAGGATCATGCACCTTCCCTGTTGGACCTTCTGCTGACCTCTCACCCGGACGGATATCAGATTTCCGTCAACGCCCCTTTAGGCTCCTCGGACCATTGTCTTGTCCGGAGTGTGGTGCCACTCACGCTGAAATCGCGGTTGCATTCTGCAGGCTGCCGCCGTGTTTGGCACTATAGGTCAGCCGATTGGGATGGGATGCGGTCTTTCTTTGCATCCTACCCTTGGGGGCGGGTTTGCTTCTCGCCGGACGATCCCAACGTTGTTGCGGATTCTGTCGCTGATGTGGTACTTCAGGGTATAGAACTTTTTATTCCTTCCTCTGTGGTGCCCATTGGAGGCAAATCTCAGCCATGGTTTGGTCGCTCCTGTAAAATAGCATCATGCTATAAGCAGGAGTGCTACCGAGCCTGGGCTGACGCATCAGCGTCCAGGGATGTAAACACCAGCGCTCTAAAAAAGAAGTATAATTCCGCCTCTAGGTCCTTCAAAAGAGTCATTGCCAAGGCAAAGTCAGAGCACATAGGCAGAATTGGCGAGAGACTAGTTCGTCTTCCTTCTGGAACCCGTGCATTCTGGTCTCTCGCCAAGGCTGTCCAGGGGAATTTCTGTCAGCCATCTCTTCCATCTCTGCACAGGGAGGACGACTCACTGGCCCACACCGCAAAGGAGAAAGCCGATCTTCTAGGCTCTTTCTTTGCGTCTAACTCGACTCTCGATGACGGGGGGAGTACGCCGCCAACCATCCCGCGGTGTGAGTGCTCCATGCCGGAAGTGCAGTTCACTCAGCGCTCGGTTCGCAAAGCACTCCTCTCCCTGGACATCCATAAGTCGAGTGGGCCTGATGGAATCCCCCCAATTGTGCTGAGGACGTGTGCTCCAGAGTTGGCACCGGTTTTAACGCGTCTTTTCCGGTACTCCTACTCCCTAGGCGTAGTCCCAAAATCATGGAAGACGGCTTTCGTCCACCCGATCCCTAAAAAAGGCGACCGCTCAGACCCGTCCAACTACCGGCCTATCGCCATCACCTCCTTGTTCTCCAAAACAATGGAGTCCATTGTAAACTGCCAGCTCATGAGGTACCTTGAGGATCACCAGCTGATTAGTGACCGCCAATACGGTTTTCGCCGTGGTAGGTCAGCTGGTGATCTTCTGGTCTACCTAACTCACAGATGGGCGGAGGCAGTAGAGTCCAAGGGGGGAGGCATTGGCCGTTAGTTTGGACATTGCGAAGGCCTTCGATCGGGTTTGGCACAAAGCGCTTCTTTCGAAGCTCCCTTCCTATGGGCTTCCCGAGAAATTGTGCGATTGGATCACCAGTTTTCTTGCGGATCGGAGCATCAAGGTCGTTGTAGACGGTGCAAGCTCCGATTGCAAGCTTATTAATGCTGGTGTTCCACAGGGCTGCGTGCTATCGCCAACGCTGTTTCTTCTGCATATCAATGATATGTTGCAAACCCGTAGCATTAATTGCTATGCAGATGACAGCACTGGTTGATGCTCTTTACACCGGCCGAGCCAATATTTCTCGGGAAAACGTCTCTGAGTGCCGGGACAAACTTGTGTCTGAAGTCGAGTCTCTGCTGGACAGAGTCTCGGATTGGGGGCGACTAAATCTAGTCCAGTTTAACCCCCAAAAGACACAAGTTTGCGCGTTAACCGCTAAAAAGAACCCCTTTGTCGTATCCCCTCAGTTTCAAGGCACTCCCCCTTGTTGCCTCAGCCAGTATCGGAATCCTCGGCGTCGACGTATCGAGTGACGTGCAGTTTCGTGGTCACTTGGAAGGGAAGGCCAAATTGGCCTCTAAAAAGCTTGGCGTGCTCAGCAGAGCGGGACAGTATTTCATGCCGGCACACCGCCTGCAACTTTACAAGGCGCAGGTTCGGCCGCTCATGGAATACTGTTCCCATCTCTGGGCTGGGGCTCCCCAGTACCAGCTCCTTCCACTTGACCGCATCCAGCGCAGAGCGGCTCGAATCGTCGACGACCGAGTGCTTTCCGAACGGCTCGATTCACTGGCGCTGCGAAGAGATGTTGCATCTCTTTGCGTATTTTATCGCATCTATCACGGGGAGTGCTCTGAGGAATTGTTCGGATTAATCCCAGCCGCCAAATTTCGTGAACGCACTACACGGCAAACGTCCCGATACCATCCACACCATCTGGATGCTTGGCGGTCCACCACTGTACGTTTCAAAAGGAGTTTTCTTCCGCGTACAACCTCTGTGTGGAATAATTTACCACCGGTGATTTTTCCGGACCGATACGACCTGGGGACCTTCAAGAAAAGAGCTTACTCCTTTCTAAAGGGCCGGCAACGCACCTGCAATTCCCCTGGTGTTGCGGTTGATCATGGGCGGCGGTAGTCACTTAACATCAGGTGAGCCACATGCTCGTTTGCCCCCTCTTCTATAAAAAAAAAATCTATATTATAATTAATCAGTACTACGATAATGACTGAATACGAACGAAAATTCTTTGCTTCGCATTCTTGGCTGCGCACGGTTGACTTCTGGATCTCGATAACATCGAAACCTACATGGTCCAATTGTGAACATGGAACCCACTTCAAACACACATAAAAAATTTCATCAAAATCAAATCAGCTCTTTAGAAGTTCAGTGACAAACACGCACAGAAAAATTATTTATATACATAAAGAAGATGTACTGTTACTCACCAAGGAAAACAGCGGAGATGCTATTAAGTAGAACATGAAAGCGGTTATTATGGTACCAAATCTGTTCTCGATGAGCTTCGGATCCTCCATCTCAGCGTAGCCCAGCAGTGCGGCTGTGAAGGCACCCGCCAGACCCATTTTCGCCCACACTTTCACCTTCTCCGACGTATAGTTGAAATATATCAGAACGTACAGCAAGTTAATCCCCAAACCGACGAAGTTCACTTGAATCATCATATCATCGCGGAGGATGAAGCCGTATTTTAAATTGAGCAAACTCCTGTTGACAAAGATGAGTTTATCATATCACTAAACACTTCTCAGCCTCAGGGGAGGAAATATATACTTTCTGTAGAATAAAGGTGACAAACGAGTACACAGTCCACTTGATTTTAAGTGGATGCCGTGGCCCTTAGACATCTACATCTATCTTTGCCTATCTACGGAAGGACCACGATTTCACAGAATACCAGCGTGAAATTGAGGCTTAAAGCTGCTGTATTGCGTGTGACTGAGTGTAAACAACTCTTTATACCGGAAACGAGGCAATCCATCTTAGTCCTCAGGGGTGACAACGCATCTGTATTTTGATTCTTAACCTAGGAAAGATGTAGATGTATATACTATGTACTATGGCGGTATTTTTTACACGGCCGATAAAGGGCGTTCTACAGATGCCGTCTAAATATTTGCAATTCCTCAAACATGCGGGTTTCTTAGAAAAGCGATGAAACAGCTATTAAAGTGCGATTAACGATTTAAATGGTGTCGGACTCTCCATAGAGCTAATTTAACGGTCGGTTGGAACCGGGCGGCAAGAAACAAGCTTCAGGACGCCGATAGTTTAGGTAACTTCTTTTTACAGTGAAAATAATGGTAATTTAAAAAAAATAAAACACATAAGCCCTGCTTTATAGTTAGTTCAGTTAGTATGCAAAGTTTCATGGTCTTATTTAAAGTATTTTATTAATAACAGCGGTTTATTGTTCAGTTTGGAGGTAAATTTGGATTTTTTTTCTATCGAGAAAATTTTACGCAATCATGTTATCATCTAACATAGTACTTAACATTAATCCTCAACTTTACCGTATATTTATTTCAAAATTAATGCTGCAATATTTTCGGTATAACGGAGGATCTTGCTAAGCCATTTGAGGTTATATTTCCCCTTAGAGACAACTAATTATATGCCGCCTAGATGAATTACGGCATATACCTAGTACGTATATCAAGGCCATTTCGAATGCATTTTTTATACCTTCCTAAACTTTAACATTGATTGAATATCGAGTGTCAAATCACGTTCAGGTAGAGTAAGTACATCACTGACACCATCCGCGTAGCAGTACAGGTTAGGTAGAGCAAATTCAACGTTATCTATGTTTTAAATTTTGCCTATAATAGCGTGAATTTATTATTGCGACACCTAGCAACCTCAATGCAATTTTTTTCGTCAATCCTAGAAGCTTTTTGGATTAAGATATAATGTTATCTATAAGTAATAATTTATGGTGCATTTTCAAATAATCGCGGTATTACTACAATATCTAACGTTAAGAAGCTAAAGAATCACGGAAAAATTATTGAAATGGTGTACAATTGTCGGCACACCTTTCTTTCTTGCGAATGTGTGAGTTTGACGACAGTGGTTCTGGACTAGAACCACTGTCGTTAGCAGTGGACTTTAATAGGCTGTAACGGACCAGCTTTGGGACCTATACACATACTTTACGTTTTACTCTGCTATGTTCAGAAAACTTACATGACAACACCACCGATGAAAGGCGCTATGCCGATTCCCCTGGTGTTCCCCTGCTTGTATATATCGTAACATATAAAGGAGCCAGAAAACATCTGTGCGACCGTGACAATCCCGGCCACGCTCCCCACTAGCTCCTTGTACGGCTGCAGAACATCTGATAACGCCTCCATCTTGATTGGTACTGTAACAAAGAAATTAATAATAATAATATAAATTTAAATGGCATTGTAACAGAGGTATTTTTATAGGACTGGGTGACAAACGAGCACACAGTCCGCCTGATGGTAAGTGGTTGCTGTGGCTCATAGACATCTACATCCATCCTCGATTACGAATCAAAATGATGATGCGTTGTCACCTGTGAGGACTAAGATGGAATGCATCTTTTCCAGTAAAAAAGTTACGCTACTATTTTACGCTGGTCTTCTGTGAGAGCGTGGCCCTTCCCCGGTCGAGCCGACTCATTCGTGCTACAACTATACTACTAATATAACTGCAGCATGGCTCTACCACGTATAAAAAGGTATTGTTTTGACGTTCTCAAAAGCTCTAAACAAGTTTTAATTGAATAAAAAGAATTTTGACCTTGACTTCATATCAATTGTAAGTTATAAGTTATAACACACTATTCTTTTTATGTGGTAATATTAAGCGTGTAGCGGCAGTGTAAGAAACTCCAGTATCGCACATCGACCCGACAGTGACGTAGGAGGCGGCAGAGGGAAAACGAAATAGGTGATGTTCAGTAGCATCTTCCAGATAACAACTCAAAAATAATAAACATACTGCGGTTACCAACTCGCTCACCAATCGTGGCAACTATGGTAAAATTCCCCCATGAGGTAATCCGTGGTGGAGGTCAAAATTCTGCAGTTGGCCTTTATAGGGTAAACATTCTTTCGTTGTGTAGACGTGTCAAATAGTAATTAAAATAATTAAATAAGTATGTGCTTAGCCGTGACCTCGTTATAACAATACCGGTAGTAACTGTGGCATACTTTAGTTATATATGTGTTAGTGATTTTGTGGAAATGTTTATCTTTATCCATTAAAAGTACCAGAATAAGTACTAAAATGGAGTACAGCCCCTTCAACCGGAGTGCCAGGACCACTCTCACCCCGCCTCCATCAACCCACCCGTGCAGACACCCACTTCCAGCGAACCAGTCAAAGCAATTTCAACTCCTGAATTACAGCATTGGATGATAACCATTGAACAGTGCCTTAGAGGAGGTGTGCTCCATCGCTACAGATGGAAAACTTAACTCCGACCAAAAAATGCGCATCACCTCGCTTTGTCGAAAAGTAAGCCACGGTACATCACAGTTGGTAGTCCAGTACATGTCCCTCAAAATGGATGCAACTAAAGTCCAGGCCTCCAATACCAAAGGTTTCAGGACTTCAAGATTAGTATCGAAGAGTCATGAAAACCGGCTCTGGAACCACTTTTGCGGACATGATCAAAAAAGGTGGCCAAACCCTCTTGCGCCCAAACAATCTAAGTAGGTACCCTAGCAATTTATCCCAGGGACAAGTCCAAAACCAGTGATGACCCGAAGTGCCTCGACCTCGACCGCCCAGTTAGAGACTTTACAATAGTAACAAGATGCTTCAACTGCCAGCAGTTTGGTCATTCAGCCAAATTTTTTCGGGAAAGTATCCCGTGTAACTATTGTGGAGAACTCGAGCATTACTTTAAGTAACGTAATAACAAACCGCATGCCCCCGTTTGCGCGACGTGCAAACGTTTTAAAAGAAAATATGATCACAAAACTGGTGATGAAAGCTGTCCAGCACGTAAATTCGCAGAGCACTCATACATATATCTACTCTATAGACTATGAGGGCGTCTAAGAGCGCAGCGTATTATTTATTTACTTATTTGGTTCACCAACAAATGTTACACTAATACATTTGCTTAATTCTAAACTAATATAAAGTAAGTGCACATTCAATAATAGGTAAACACCGCATGCTTAGTGCTCACAGCATTTCCTACAAGCCTTTACATAATAGCTAAAAATATACAATACACAATTAAAAAAAATTAATTAATACAAAGAAATATTAATGGTATATACTTATTTTATTTACTTAGCTCTAAAACACTAGTAGTTTTAGTTTATCTTTAAACTTAATTATGACGAATCAATTACTCAATGACATAGACAACTTTTCTGTTACTGACGCTAAAACATAAAGACACACTTCCTTCCTCATCCTGAAAATAAGTTAATCTTACTTACACAAAACATTAGAAGCATAAATCGGAACATAACAAGGTTTAAAGTTTTATTGCATAGACTGGATATAAAATGTGATGTAATTGTCCATACAGAATGTTGGCTGTCAAACCTCCAACCCCACCTACCCTACCGCTTCTAGATGGCTATTCTTTACATAAAACCGAGAAAAACATTATTCAAAATGACGGTTTAATAATCTATGTTCAAAATAATTTAAAAGTAACTGTCACAGAACCTACATTCCGGGATAGTAATTGCTTAATCATTCGAATTGATTCCGAGACGATTTTTATTGCAATTTATAGACCTCCTTCTCAAATTATTGAAAGATTTCTAGAGTCCCTTGATATAACCTTAGCCAAACTTAGCACATATAAATATACAACATGTAACATAATTAACGCACTTTGAGAAAGTAGTTTGTTCAGAATCGTTTACTGAATCGATTCCTATCATTTTTAATATAGGTAATTTTTTATCCCAAAAATAATTATAATTACGTAAATTACAGTCACACTAAATCTGCACAGTCAAAGCAAACTTAAATGGACCGTAACTTAAGGCAATAAGACTTTTAAGAGTGCGGTTTTATTTGTATTATTACTAATTCTGTCTTTCAATAAAAATAAAGAAAAATGAACCTTATTTCAAGCACGTTAAAGTCTTTGCGTTCGTGGATTTGTACTGTGACCACAAAATTCTTCCGGAATTAGTATAACTAATTTGATAATCAGTGCATAAAAATGTTTAACTAAAAATTCAGTGTATGTATTATGATTATAACATAATATACTAATTGGGGTGTCTGAGGGTGTGCGTTAATTACGTTACATATTGTATATCATGTTATTTTTGTTACACTTATTGTTATTTTATTTAATTGTAATCATATTTGTTCCTGTATCTAAACATGTGTAATTGGAAATGAAATAATATTGATTATTATTTATTTATTATAGCCTGTAGTGGAACCTTGTTCTCCGGGCAGCTACGATTGATATGTAAGCTCAAAATTTAGTTCAATTCTATGTTCAAGAGTAGACTTTTATAGGCTGTAATGGCTGGTTATATATATATATATATATATATATATATATATATATATATATATATATATATATATATATATATATATAGGTATCCAAATCTCAATCTATCAACCATCCAGAGAACGAGTCGGTTGGGGGCTCTTCACCCCTTACTTCAGCCAACCTTTTGGTATTCTATAGATACATTATCTCTCTCTTCCATCTAGCATTGGACATTCAGACGCTCAGCCAGTCTCCACCTTATTGTTATCGACATACCACGCATTTTTAACGGTTTGCTTCGTTATTTAATTAGCGACGGGTAACTAACCAAAATTTCAATAACCTAGTTAGCCGGTTATTTGTAGTGGAATAACCAGCTATTCAGCTATTTGGCTATTTGGATAAATTAGCCACTCACTAACCAACTGTTATTTGATACCGTTAGCGTAACTTCTGTAGCTAAGATTTGAATAACGCTCAATTGCTCCATGATTACGTTCGAATCTCGCCGCAGAACATATTTATATTTAGATATATAAAAAATAACTACCTACATTTTTATTTTATACCACCTTGAAAAGAAATGAATTTCCCTCGTAACTATATTGTACATATTATTGAATTAATGTATTAAAAATGCTGCCCATTGCCTATACAATTAGTCCATAACATGTTGTTGCATAACATAGTTGCATAACAATGATTATATATCCTCTGTGGCAACTGCCCGCCGCTTAGCCGTAAGCTTGTCTGATAATCGAAGCGCCTCTAACCAAAATAGCCAATAGCTGTTATCGTGTTTACGAATATCATAGCCGTGGCTATTTTGTGAATAGTCGCTATTTTTTTATTATGTGCGAGCAGCTATGCAGGTCTAGCGAAAGAGACCAGTATCACTGCGACCTAGAAGATCTATTGTGATCGCTGCTATGGCTACAGTTCAGGGCTCAGCTCTAAGTCTTCAATGAATAGAAGGAGTTGCTCAGCCGTGAGCAATTTCAGTTCTTCTGGGCGGAGTACATAGTTTCTCAGATGAGTAGGCGTTTCTTCCGTTATGGAACAGAACCGACACATCCTTGAGTTGCTTAGTCCCAGGATGGACATGTGCTTTTTAAGACAACAGTGTCCATTTAGGGCTCGCTAGTCGCTATTTAGTTACATAAATAACTACCCATGTCAATTCGTAATAAGAACAGCAAGAGTAGAAAACTCTGCCGACGTCGGTTTTTCCGTTTCATTATATTCAGAAAGCCTTCAAGTCAATAGTGAATAGGCTTGTGTTACGTTAAGACTAAGATTTACCATCTAAGCCTCCATCACCACATAAGTTTAACCTATACTTAAGAAGTAAATGGGCATGACGATGACACCAGATTCAACAGTATGACTTTTCTCCCTTGGGAGAGAGGGAAAGGGCCTTGTGTGGGATGCAAAGTGCATGGACACTAGAAGCCTCTCATCTTAGAGCTATTTCGTTTAAGCCAGGGAGGCATTAGAGACGGCTAAACTAAGTAAATGGCTCATATATGAGTCTTTAAAGTGACAATATGTTTATGCAGTTTGTTGTCGGTTAAACGCGTGTTAAAGTATATAAAGAAACTGTATCCGCGACTGTGCGTCGCCACTGGGAACAGAGGGTTAATTCTTTTCTCGCCCTGAGGATAAGTATAGTAATTCAGCAAGGCAACGCAGCCAGTTTTCTTCGAAGTATACCGCGGGGAATGTTGGGACTTATGTGTTATCACAAACCGCGAGGTTTACAGATATCAATATAACGTCACACTGATCTGAGAGTTGTTATCGGTACAGCAGCGGGGAATGTCAAATTGACTTTCTATAATCGTTAACGTTTATTAACCACTAATCGTTAACCACACGAGAAGCAGCAGCTTTGAAATAAAAAAGAATCATTAAAACCGATTTACCCAGAAAAAAGGTAGAGCTCGAATACATATAAAACTACAGTCGAAGTGAATACCTCCTCCTTTTCAAGTCAATAAAAAAGGAGTATTATTATATAATAAACAGTGGTGAATTTGTAACTTCCTGATACTCGCGACTTCGTCCGCGTTGCTTGATATATTAACAAAGAAAACACACATCTGTGAGTTCGTAGTGCTTATAAAAACCGTTGTTTCTTAAAACTGTAATAACTTTATACTAAATGAAGACATCGCAATAAAATTTTATGATATTTTTTTACATAAGGGCCGTCTAAGATATAAAACTTAGAAAACCTAATTGAAATCAATCCAGTAGTATTTCCGTGATGCGCCACAACCGCAAACCTCTATCATTCTATTTATATAGGTAATACTCCTAGTCGAGCGTAGTCAAGTAACTTTCATTACTGTAAGTATAATAAATAAAATAAATAAAAAATCTTACGTGTCTTGTGCGTACGGAATGTCCTTCGATAGTCCGAAAAGAAATAGCGAAATTCTATTTCATCTTTCAAAAGGTTTAAACTATGACTGACCCGCCACTGCTTATAAAAAATTTCGTCAGACTAACGTAAATTAATCAGATAATGTAGTCTAAAAAAGTCTAGGTCTCTGTAGTAAAATATTAAGGAATATTTTCCCCTTTACGCATTTTTATTGTTGTCGCACCAAGCCTATGTCGCAATAAAAACAAAAAAAAACATTAATTTCATTTAATACAAATTTAACGTTGAGTCGAGATTATATATAACACAATATTTTATACAATACAAGATATTAACAGTTAGATCTTTATACATATTAGATTTATGTAATCAATAGTAAGAAAATACATAGATATATTATTTCAAAAAGTTAGTGATGATAATATAAATAGATATAACTAAAACCACTTTATCTTTATACAGTTCTGGACCATATTCCATGGCAGTTAAACTATATAAGACATTACCCTAAAATATAATAGAAATAGAACAATATAAGAAGTTTGTGATAGCACTAAATAGCTTTTTGATTAATAATTGCACTATAAATTAGACGAATGTTATGTTAAATTAAAATAAATAAATATAGTACATATACTAAATACTATAATAATACTTGCAATGTATAAAAAATATATAAATATTAGAATTAAGGCGTTAGAGCTATATAGCTTTATTTCATATTGTTATACACCTTGCTGGGTGCTTGTGCTGTAATTTATCACACGAAACCACATGTAAATGCAATAAATAAATAAATTAAAAAATTAAAAAAAAAAAAACAGAAAATCCAAGCTTTGGTCTTAAAATAAATAGAGCGACTTTATTATACACAATAAATATTAATTTGTAACCTATGTTTTTTTTTCATAGTAAACTTAACCAGACTTACAATAATTACTATCGGGAGCTCTTGTTTTTGTGAATATTTTTGCACGATATATTTACACAACAAAAACGCGAATTTACGAATGTATTACGCACGGTCATTCGCACACTAGAGCGAGCTACTACTTACTTACTACGTGTTGCACTGTACCCTTTTTTTTTTGTACATGGGGAAATGCCTACGCATACCCGCCTCGCGGGGGCAAGGACGGGTTATGTCGGACTCGCACCGACTAAAACCCCATGGTGTTCCACCTTTGTCGCTATTGGCAGGGCCACGGGAACGCTTTCGCACACATCCGCAGCCCCACCAGCGCCTGCCGCCCCATGGCAGCACCTCCTCGGGAGCGGAATATTCCACCCCGTTCTCCTTCACAGGTAAGGCGCACCAGAACACATGGCGCGCCTTCCTTCTCGGCCTCTAATCACATCTGCGCAACGGACGCCCCCGCGTCCAATGCAAGAAGGCCATGGGGCCAAGAAAAACAAGCACTTAGAAGTACTAGCCTTCCCGACCCCAGCGGCGGATCTGGTCTATGGCTCCGCCGCCAACCAAGATTCGGCTGCGGAGGGTAGGGAGAGCAACGCCTCGCAATACCGACAATCCTCTCCCCCCGCAGCCCCACCACCACCGCATCAACGGTGCGGTCCCGTTTGAGTCGCGGAGGAGTGGCGCATCGCCATACCAACACTCCTCTTCCTCCGCGACTCCACCTCGGCTGCAGCGGTAGGTGGGGAGGACACACCTCTCACCGCAGTCCACCAACACACATCCGAAGTGGGCTCCCCAAGCCCACTCGGAGTGGCCACCTCGGGCCGGCCCTCCACCTTGGACCAGCCATATGGGTTCCTCTTTGTTTCGCCGTGGGTGACCAAGCCACGGCTTCTAAGCCCCCCCGCCACGACAAGACGGGAACCCGTTGGGGGGGTGCACTGTACCCCTAGCACAAACATTTTGATCTATCGTATAGTTTACGCCACAGTTTAGTTTCAGTTAAATTTTGTATGGGAATTTGAACAGCGCTCCGTGGGCGTTTTTGGAACTAAAATTCAGAAGCACGAACATCTAATGCTACGTAACGTATCGCTTTCGTATAGTTTAACGTATAGTAAGACACAAAATGTATGGGAATCGGCAGCACGAATCTTTTTTTGACGCACGTTATCGTCTAACACTATAGAGAAACGTTTTCTCACCGACATTTTTACGGTGAGAACGCTATCGAGAAGTATTAGTTTTAAGTTTTCCTGGGGTTTTTGTTGATTTAAGTTTAAAATATTTTTATTAACAACAAGTAGAATGCGATCCACGTCTTTTTATTATTTTGTGTGGCATTTGGCAGTCGAGGCAAGAAAGCAAAGATGAGAATTAAGGTACGCAAAATATACTATTTAAAGTATTGCTAATTATTATATTACATATATATGTACCCTTATTTTAACTATTTATTTGAATAATAATCATTATATTTTGATAGCTGTTTCAATTAAATATATCTAAATCGTTCCAATGATATAACTCAACGAATTTTTATTCGGCAAACGGAAGACCCTCCGGATAATTTTTAAAAAAAGATACAGATTAAGTAAAAATGCATTTAAATTACTCTGCCGTTAATTTTGCTCTGAAAACTTCAGAGGGAGTAAAAGAATAAGCTTAGAGCTTAAGGTATAAAAAATAATGCACAACATTAAAGTACCTGCTGTAGTTATTATGTACCTAAGCAGAACTGAATACTCAAAGATTTACACAATCATATCAAAGAAATCATACAGGGCAATTCAATCTCATATCAGATGACGCTTCGCTATCAAATTCGAAAAATGAACATTTATTTTTAAACTAGCTGTTCCTCGCGACTTCGGTCGCGTTTAATTTAGGGTTTTAATTATTTTGCGCAGAACCTTAATTCTTTTTCTAAACTAAAAGTAGCCTACGTTACTCCTTATGAGTCAGAGATTTCGGAGATTAGCCAGAACAAACATACTGACAGATAGATAGAAAAAAATTTTAAACCTGTGTTTTTGTTATACAAACAAACACTCAATTATATTTATTTGTATAGATGTTCATTTACATTCAGGTCATTGAATCGCCCAAATCATATACTTTCAATGTAAGGAAAAAGTAAAGAGTTTCAATAAAACTCAATGGTTTGAAGCTAGTAAACTTTAACCACTGATAGCCCGTGACAGATTACCCCCTAATAGATTCCGCATACAGTGCCACAAACGCGCGCAACACATACTTGCTATAGCTAACATATGAGGTGACGCTAGGAATCACGATATCATTGTCGACCAAGTTTGTGACCCGTAGGCACGTCCGAGTTTTTGAAAATTTAAAAATAATTTTGTACCCAAAATACATCACAAATGGCTTCCTATGCAGTGAAATGGTGTGGCAAGTCAGCTAAGACATCCAGTTATCAAAAAGATGGCATAATATTTCATCGGTAAGTAAATTCTATTCTTATCACGTTAACCTTTTTCAAATGCACCGGAGTTCAACTTATACTGGCAATATAATGGTGCAGTGATAACAATTTAGCACCCGTTGATGTCTTTTTGGAATGTCCCTTTCATTCATTTCATAAATTACAGTAGTTGTCTTTGTCTAACGGCAGCACGTGTATCGATAGTGTTGTGATTTATAAGTCGATATTTGTTTGGTCATAGTTTACTTTTTTTTTTAGTCATTATTTTACACAAATAGTAGCTAATTATGTTACATAATTGTGGTACCTATATGTTATAGGTTTCCTAAATGCCCCCAAAAGGAAAAGATGTGGATCGACGCTACTTGTCGAGGGGACCAATGGTTTCCCACCAAATATATAATAATTATAAAGTCTTGAGCATAGTGTGCTATGCTCGAGACACTTCACAGAAGACAATCTTCATATTATGAAAAACCGTAGAAGGCTATTGGATTCCGCTATACCATCTCTATACTTGCCAGTTTTAGTATGGACTTTTACATTTTTTTAAAGTATAATACCAATGATGATTATACAATAAGTATAGCATTAAGTGGTTGATTGAAACGTGATATTCTAATATTTAGGCGAATGTTACACGTCGAAATTAAACTATTTTTAACGGATTTAAAAACAAAAAAAAACAAGTGAAAGTTATAATGTGATTATTGTTATTCTAGTGTTACATGAACTTCAGTAATATCCTATTATTATTATTATTAAGTACATCTAAATTTCAAACACGTACCGTATGGTTTTTTAATTAATAATACTACTTTTAGGTACACTTGGCAAAAATACTGTCACCACCGAAAGTACATACCAGAGCACACACAAAGGATTCACACCATTTTGTTAGTGAGATAAAAGACCTACATCTCGCTGACAATGAAACTATGGTTAGTTTTGCTGTTTAGTCACTAGTCACATGCCTACCTATTGAAGACTGATTCTCAATTGTAACCAGGAAGCTACAAGATAACATCATGTCTACAGAATATGCAGTATTACTCAAACACTGCTTCATATCTGGCTATCTATTGTAGAAGGAAGAGTTCTACAAGCAAGTTGATGGCGTGGCGATGGGCTCACCTGTATTTCCTATAGTCGCCGACATATATCATGGAGGACTTTGAGGAGAAACCCTTCTTACTGCTCCTATAAATCTAAGAATCTACAAGCGGTACGTAGACGACACTTTCACAATTTTACCATCTGAAAAAGCAACTGCATCTTTAGACCACCTTAACTCCATAAGCTTTAAAATACAAATCACGATGGAGTTAGAAGCAACTTACTTTAACTTTCCTAGATGTTTTAGTCATCCGAAATCCTGATAACACCATTGGTCATACTGTGTATAGGAAAAAGGCCTATACCAACCGATATTTAAATGGTGAAACTCACCATCATTCTTCATAGTTTGCTACTGTGGGTAAATATTTGTTTCAGAGAGCACAAGGGATCTGTGACAGAATACATCTAGCCGCCGAGTTTCAGCATGTAAAGCAAGTATTGCAAGACAACAAGCTTTGGGTCCCAAGCCTACGTCGCAGCGACCGAGTGAAGCCAGCCACAGTCGGTGGATGGGTGCTGCTATTTTCTTGGGATCCTATAGTTAACAAAATCTATCCAAACCCAAGCATACCACTGCAAGACTTCAAGATACTGTAAGCTCGTTTTATGTAGATCGGGGCCAAAAATTAATATTCAAAAACTGAAGATAGCCGGGCTAACTACGATATTGAGACGTCAAACATCTCATTTCCCCCCTCCCCCATGACCATAAGTTAATTAAACGCGATAAAATCCACATAATTATATAGTTTTATATTCTTTTATTTATATACATTGTTTTATTTTTTATTATCGATCAACGTCCCAATCCTGTCCCATCACTATGGTTCGGAGCATTCTAAGTTCAACCTTGAATTATCCAATCACAGCGCATTTGCAACTCGAAATTTGGTGAAATCGAAACAGAACAAATATTCCATGATGCGGTATCTATTAGGAGTAATCTGTGTAGCCGTGAGGCCGAGCCGTGAGGTCATGACTCGCCATTTTTCAAACTAAAGAGTTTTTTTTCGAATTTATTTTTTTCGAACAATTCAAATTTATCTCACTAACAAAATGGTGTGAATCCTTTGTGTGTGCTCTGGTATGTACTTTCGGTGGTGACAGTATTTTTGCCAAGTGTACCTAAAAGTAGTATTATTAATTAAAAAACCATACGGTACGTGTTTGAAATTTAGATGTACTTAATAATAATAATAATAATAGGATATTACTGAAGTTCATGTAACACTAGAATAACAATAATCAGATTATAACTTTCACTTGTTTTTTTTTTTTTGTTTTTAAATCCGTTAAAAATAGTTTAATTTCGACGTGCAACATTCGCCTAAATATTAGAATATCACGTTTCAATCAACCACTTAATGCTATACTTATTGTATAATCATCATTGGTATTATACTTTAAAAAAATGTAAAAGTCCATACTAAAACTGGCAAGTATAGAGATGGTATAGCGGAATCCAAT